ATATCAGATTAAAGATTGATCCAGTAGCAGCTCCAAACACACACATGATGGCCAGACGGTCATGTCCATGCCAAGGAAATCTATAGGCCTATACACAGGGTGGAAGCATTACTGTTTAGTAATGGCAACCTATAGGCTGGTTTCAGTTACAGCACTATCATGCACTATCACTATCACACATACAGCAAATCAAGTGATAGTCAACCAAATGATAAAATAACGTAAGTACTCTTTTTACTATATCTGTTATATCTTGTATTTGGTGGCAGATACGTGGAATTGCACGATGTATATTTTACAATATATATTCCACTTTATTGCATTAATTCCGACACTGACGCAGCTAGAAATTATATTCTCAGTTAAGAAATCTTGTATCAATAAATTTTAAGGGCCTTCCATGGTCAAGTAACTTTTCAGCTTCCCCAGTGTGGAGATACTCAGAGTAGCAACAGCAAAGAAGGTAGCAATACACATGAGTTCAACACCATGCATGCACAATCATGAGCTATATAGCGATGGGCCGATAATCGCGGCATCGGGACGATTTTTGCCTTATCAGTGGACAATTGGAATCGGAATTATCTATATTTCCGATTTTCTAAAACAGATTGTTGAGAAAATGCGCACTTTAAAAATTATATGTATTGCATGTTGCGCCTTAACGCAATATGTCAAATTATGCGTGAAGCGCGTGCCATTCATTAACGGTTTTAACGATCTTTGGTTGCAGTAACTTGTTACGTTGGAAATTATCGTTAAAAAAAAATTGACATGAATGATGTCACCTTTACTCGGTTGACTGATATTATGACGTCAATTTAAAATCGGTATCGGTATTAGATTGTGGCATGGAAAATCGGTAATTTCCGATTGTTGCACAATCGGTCATCACTAATACTTTTGCTTGTCATGGAAATGTTTGGGTGTTAATGGATTAACCAGACTCACGTCGCTTATAATTGTTCACCATTGACCATGCAACGATGCGCCAGGCGATTTCATCTGTCAAAACGGGGCATTTCTTAATACCATGAACTGGTGGGCATTTGCCCCACTGGGCCCCTTTCTTTGCCCCACCACTGAAGAACAAAAATGGCTTATTGCCCAAAGCAATGCAGGGCCCTATAAGCCATGTATTAAGTAAATGAGTTTAATTTAACATTGAAAAGATGTTTAAAAACAAAATTTGTTGGTGAGCATACTTAAACTTGTGTTGTAGCTGAGATTTTCTAAAAATGCGTAAAAATTTCCTGGGGGAGAGGGGAAAGCCCCCAGACCCTCCCTACCTAACTCATGCCTGCGGTACTCGGCTCACACCTTCGGCGATCGTATACTGGGGGGAGGGCAAGGATATAATGGCCGCTTTGGCAGTTTTGCCCCACCGCCGAAGAATCCTTAAAAAATGCACTGTGTCAAAAGGCCAATGTGTTAATCGACCATTAAGCTTTTTAAGAGGCATAATTGCATCCTAATGTGGGTAAAGAAATCGAGATTTTTGGTAATCTCCTCGATAGAACTAACAGTTGAAGGATCCGTGTAAACTTAGTTCTATCGAGCGAGATGCCCAAAAATTTCAATATTTACCCATACCTTATACTGGCATCACTGTTGCATGGGATTCCTAAGAAGATCATCCCGGGAGATAAGAAACCCAGTAACAAGAAGAAGCTTATATGTCACAGTTGTACGACCTCGCCTTGGCTACGCTACCCAGATTTGGGCTCCTCAAACAATCGAGCTGATAAAGCGAGTTGAAAAAGCGCAGCGTCGTGCGACGAAGTTTACCATTCTACAGCGCGAAGTACCCTACAAAAAACGTTTATAGAGCAACAAGCAATCCAGACGTTATCTTGTTCCGTATTAAGAAATGCAGGACTGTAACCTATCAGACATCCGTCATCAACAGGACAACAAGATTACGGAACATTCTTCCTAATGAACTTAAACAATAGTCTCTTTCCTTGTCCTCATTTAAATATTTACTTTACAGATATTACACTATACTGCTATCAATATAAACTATGATCATGAATCTGAAAATCCTCGGACTTGGAAATCAATCTGTTTGAAATGTAACACTGCTCGTAGTCTTACTACTCCACTCTCTTGTTGTTCCTGATAGTTGTATTTGTTCTCGTATAAATTAAATTATGTTAATGTAGTTGTAAATATTTATTTAGCATTTGTAAAATAGGGCCCACAGACACAGTAATTGGTTTTTATACTGTTGTGGTGACCCTGCCACTCTTTTATGTGGTAAAGTTATAATAAACAATATAATACAGTACAATTAAGAACTTGTGGTTAATGCTCAACAACTGGACTCTGTAGCTCAGTTGTTTAGAGCGCTGCACTGAAATCGCAGGGTCGATTCCTGCCAGGGGGCCTATAGTTGCATTTTTCGCAACTGCTCCTGGTTAGGTCTGAACTTCTTTGTTATTTTACTCTGTACGTCTAATGCCAGACAATTTTACTCGTCAAGGGGAGAGTGAAAAAATGCATGAGAAACTTTTCGTCTCCCATATAGAATCTTAAGACTTGTTATTTTGCGGATCTCTATAGAAAAAATTCTTCAATTACCTATAAAGTGTATTGATTTCCAATACGTTTGCCCTTGTAGTGGCTTGACTCGCTAGTTGACTGACTCATCATTATACCTATACATCACTGACCATTTACCATCACCATTAATATTCCGAAGACTGAATCAATGCATGTGATTATAAATGCACCATAGCAAAATCACCCCCCCTCCCTGACACGCCCAACCAATGCATCTCATTACTTGCATTCCAGGGGTCTTCCTAAGAAAAATTTAGAACTTGCCCATAATGCGACAAGACTGTGAAGTAGTGAACATTTACAATTTTCAGAGTGACAGTTGGTTTTGTTTTTGCCTTAAATATCTACAGTTTGAAATGGTCGGTGCATATTGTATGAACTCACACAACAATCCCAGGTCTGCCTCCCCAAATGTCTTTCTTAAAACTTTTTCTCTTCCGTAAAAATGCCAATACCGTAATAATTATCCCCTGGAATGGAACATTACATATATATTATGGTTAGCAATAATATTGGACTATTATAGCCCCAAGCAGTGGTGGATTTTTTTTGGGGGGGAGGGTGCGGGGGGCGCGCGCACCCCCCTCCAGGCTCTGGTCAACAGGGGTGCATGGGGGGGGGTGCAAAAATGACGTTTATCCTAATTTTAACCAACTTATGTTAAGGAATTCAGTTGCGTATCACTAGTTGACAATAGCGGAATAGCCAATATTAAATATTCTGAATTTTTAAATGTTTTGAGAATCTAAAAATGTTCCAGAATGTTTTCTCAGAATGCTGGAAATGCCATTTCAGAGACCCAAATTTTAAAACCACCCTGGAAATCTCGCGCCTTCGGCGCTTGTTTCACCATAGGTTAGCACCTCTCAAAAAAACTTTGCTGGATCCACCACTGGCCTCAAGTACATCAATCACCACACTGGATGCCTGCATGAGGAAGCTCAGTAGAATGGAGCATTTTCTCAGGCAAATGCAGCTGAAAAATTGGTAATTAGTGATTTCCAATTTTGGCATGATTCATGGACATTCAGTACTTGCCCCACTTGGACCATGGGGAATGAGCAGTGGGGGTGACTCAGGACTTACAGCCAATCACTGATCGGCAAGGTAGTTCACTTTTTTCAAGCCCTGGTGACTTATATCCTAACACCAATCACCATGCACCAACAGTCTCAGACAACATTATATGACACTGACACCTAGTGTCAGTTTATGGTTGGACAAATGTCTTTCTAAGGGCGGTGTGGCTTGTTAATTTTTATTTTAATTGACATGGGTGGGCTCTAGCAGAAAATCTACCAGTATAATTCTTAAAGGGCATGACATTCACTAGTCTAATAACTCACCAATATACTTGTAAATCATAATATAACTGTAAACTTACAGCAGGTGCTAAAAACAGGTGAGGAAAATAAGTTTGATCCACATCACACGTTGCAGCACTGAAAATAAATAGAAACATATATTGTAAAATTAAAATTGGAACTAATTTAACCCATGCATTTATGCGCCACAGTAATATTTGATAATTTTAATGACTTTGATCAGTCAATTTCTATGAAAGAGGACTGTTATTCTACTATTCTGTGGTGCTATAAGCTAAGTTCTCTGATGTTCAGTTGAGCTATTATTCACTTATCTATGTGGCTCAATTCCAATTCGATCATGACATCATCAATTGTCGTAAACTGTACATGTTATATAAAATTAGTCTCGGGCATTGCCCTGATTACTTTATCCCATATATACGCTATCTCAAGGACTCGCAACTAATAGTCATATGACTGTAGTGTCCACGTGTTAATAAGGACACGGATTGTCAATACAGTCAAGTATGAATAGTAAGGGATAACGAGGGACAAGGAAAGAGTAAGAAAGCAAGATGACGGATAGCACATGCAACATGTATTTAAGTAAAGAAGTTTTATAGACAAGTTTATACAGTATTAAATTGGCAACGAGTGATTTACTTTGTGCGAAGGAAGTATGGCTACTTCATTACCAGAATTTCCGCCTTTTGATGTTGGTTTGGAACCGTCGTCACTGCATGGGATTACAATGGAAAAAGTGGACAACTCGGTTGGAAAATTTGTTTATAGCTTTAGCTATCGAAGATAAGAAGTGACAAAAGGCTATCAACATGTGAAAGCTAAGTTAGATAAATTGTTTGTACATATTTTGAGCCAAAGATCAACATTACTTTTGAGACATATAACTTTAGACAATACAAGCTCAAGCAGAAAATGAGTCTATTGATACGTTTGTTACTGGACTTTGTGAGGCTGCTTACCAGTTTTATGCTGCTTACTATATTTTCTCTGCTTACCAGAGAAATTAAAGATCAAGTTGTGCAGAAATGCACCTCAGATCGGCTGAAGGAAGGCGTTAAGAGATTAGACCCAAGTCTGGATAATCGTTTGAAGGCGGCATGAGCAATGTTGTTGGCAGATCACCAGGCGAAAGCTATGGAAGGTGAACCAGGAGTTCTAAAGGTTGGTCGACAAGATCCTGTTGTTAAATCAGAGAACAATGGTCAGTCGAAGCCAAGTGATGGTGACAAGGTATGTTTCAGATGTGGCGGGTCATGGCCACATCCAAAGCGAAAGCGTTCGTGCTCAGCTTACGGGTTAGATTGTAAGTGTGATACAAAAAACCATTTTGCACGTGTGCGCAAAAACAAGAAGAAAGTAAGAACCATTGTTGAATCGACTGACAGTGATACTGATGACAGTTATCGGGATTTATCAGTGAAAAATAGCAAGAAATGTTGCAGTTCACAGTCATCCGGTGCGTTTCCAAGTTGATTCGAGTGGTGATGTCAACATCATTGATGAAAAAAACATTTTCTCATATTAAATTGCGGGTAAAGTTGTCAAAGTGTAACACTCGACTTTATGCGTATGGTTCTAGAAACCCTTTGCGACTGTTGGGCAAATTTACGGCAACAATATCGAACAGTGAGAAGTATGATGTTGCAGACATTTATGTTGTACAAGGGACCCACAATGCTGGGTCACTTCTCGGGTCGGGTTCAGCAACAGCGTTAGGAATTCTCAGGATTGTCAATCATGTCAAGCTTGATGTTAGTTAGAATGGGAAAAGTGATTCCGCTTCAATAAAGGGTGCTCGATTATCCAAACAAAAAGACCAAACTTGTCCCGTTACTTCTGTGGATAAACTTGTTGCCGAATATGACGATTTGTTTCAGGGAATCGGCAAATTGAAGGGAGTACAAGTTAAGTTGCATATTCATTTGATGACCAAATACAACCGGTCGCACAGAAACATTGCATGCAGAGCTCCTTTTCATCTGCGAGAGAAATTAGATGCTGAACTTGAACGTTTGGAGAAAGCTGAAATTATAGAGAAAGTCGAGTCAGCCACACATTGGGTCTCGCCAAAAAAGGGCACGCACGGATGAATTACGAATGTGTGTTGATATGCCGATATCGGAGCACCCAATCGAGCAATTAAACGGGTAAAACACGTAATTCCAACAATTGAAGATCTACACCATGATATTAATGGTGCGAGAGTCTTTTCTAAACTTGACCTGGCAAATGGTTTTCATCAGTTGGAGCTCCATGAGGACAGCCGAGGGATTACAACGTTCTCAACACATGCAGGCCCCCGGAGGTTTCGCCGTCTCAACTTTGGTACCAACTCTGCGCCAGAGATTTTTCACGAAGAACTACGTAAACTGCTTGTGGGCATTAAGGGTGTTCGTAATATTCATGATGACATCCTGGTAACGGGGGTTGATACTCAAGACCACTACAGAGCTTTGTCTTGGACGTTCCGGCGACTTCGGGAGGCAGCTAGCCTAACACTTAAGCGAAGTGTGAGAAGTCCGAGTTAACATTTTTTGGACTTGTTTTCACCAAGGATGGAATTCGGCCTGATCCAGAGAAAGCAATACAATCTCTCAGCGCTCCGAGAAATTTATCTCAACTACGGTCCTTCTTGGGAATGACAAATTATTCGGCACAGTTTATATGTCACGGACAATGCCACTCTTTTGTTGACCCTCTACGTTCTTTGACGAAGAAAGATGCTCGTTGGGTGTGGACAGAGGAACACCAAGAGTGTTTCGAACAGCTCAAAGAAAGCTTAAAAGAAAATGCTTTGTTGAATTACTACGATCCTAGGCTTCCAACGGAAGTAGTAAGTGACGCATCTCCAGTTGGCGTGAGTGCTATATTAGCTCAGTATAAGTCGGGGGAAACGGTGCCGAGAGTAACTGCATATAACAGTAGAACGCTTACGCCCGTGGAAAGAAGGTATGGTCCAGATCATAGAGAGAATCTCTATCTTAAAAACCAACTGTACTTGTAATGGGCCACAAGTTCACAGTCGTAACAAACCATCAGCCATTGGTCTGTTTGTATAATAATCCACGACGTCCAGGACCATTTCGCGTTGAGAGAATCACCGAGGTTAAAACTACAAGGTTTTAGCTTCAATGTTGTTTAGCTTCAATGTTTAATCCTTCTGATTATACGTCGCGACAGCCTCTTCCTATGGCACATTCTACCAAAACAGATCTGGCCGCGTCAAAGGGGTTAGAATCTCGTCTCAAAGATATACAGAGAGAGACTATGAAAGATCGCGCACTAAGAAAAGTCTATGAACATTTGCAAAGGGAACTGTTTTTAGAAAAAGATATAAAGATTTACAACCTTATCAGAGCATAGTCAGCGAGTTATCTATTGCGCATGGTGTCATTATTCGTGGCCGGAGAATAGTCCTGCCTACGTCTTTACACAAGAAAGTAATTAACACTGCGCATGAAGGACACCAGGGTTTAGTTAAAACCAAACAACTCTTACGAATGAATCCTGCATAAATACTTGTATTCCGTGTCAAGCAACCGTACATATGGCATCGCAAGAACCTGTTAAATACACAATACTAAACCCAACGGTCCATGGGAGTGTCTGTCTATGGATTTTATGGCCCTATGCCATCGGGTGAATATGTGGTAGTGGTCATCGATGAGTATCTTTCCTGAAATTGATATTACTACGTCCACCTCTGCGAAAGCCACGTTGCGGAAGCTTGATCGCATCCTATCCTCATTTGGGATTCCCATCAGTATTAATTAAAACAGTTCACGTATAAGACTTTTAACGACTATTGTCGGCTAATGGGAATCAAGCACCAACTCATTACTCCCAGACACCCACGTGCTAATCGTTTAGACCCCGTTTACACTATACCGGGGTTGTTTACCATTTACATGGAAAACCCATCCAGTTTGAAATTGTGCTAATGGTAAGCGAAATTTCGGATAAAAAATCCCATTCGGATTATGTGCTTTCCATTTAATAATTTCAATTGTTAAATCGCGAAGAGCCTGGAACTGGTGAAAAAAATTTTAAAAATGTAAATGGAACAACATTTACCGGTTGAAAGTTGAAACTTTCCAATCGGTAAGAGAGGACAACCTTTTCAAACAAACCGCTTTAATATTCCGGAAAAGTTCCGGTTGGGCCGTCGAAATATGCTTGTTCCATTTACTTTCCGTATGGAATCACCGGAATTTCCATGTAAATGGTAAACAACCCCGGGTTGCTATCGGAGTGGGTCAAATTTTGTAGGTATCGAAAGGCTGTGAAGATTTTTAATCTCAGAGACCCAAATAAACATGCCAATTCTGTCAAACTAATAAGCATTTGCTACTAACCATTGCTCCGTAACGGCAAAAGAAGATGTCGTGACCAGCGAATCCGGTATAGTGTAAACCGAGGGCCTTAGTGGAAAATTTTAATCGTATGGTCAAAAAAGTTACGCGCGATGACTTTTCAGATATGGAAAGCGATCAGGAGAGGAACCAATAGGTATTGACGACTTGTTACCAATGGATGGGGATGGTCAGAACCAAGTCGTTAACCAAGAGGGGGATGTTTAAAATTTTGATCCAACAAGAGGAAGCACGACTGGAAAAATGGGAGGATTGAAGGCAAAACGAGAATGAAGTGCACGATCAAGATGGTGAGAGAAGGTTAAGAGGACAGCAAAATCCCCCACAGTGGCAATTTTAGATTGACATGGGAACTGCAGGTGAAAACGATTACAGAATACTGTAAGCTGTATAGTGTATATATTATTTTCTAATCAGATGCAACTGAACAGTGACAATTATCTATAGTTTAAATGTGATCATGTTGTGTTGTGCAGCCGGAGACGGTGGAAGACATTTTGCCGACGGACGTTTTGCAGAACGGACGTTTTGCCAAAAGGACATTTTGCCAAAAGGACATTTTGCCAAACGGACATTTTGCCAAACGGACAGTTTGCCAAAAGGACAACTTGCCGAAAATAGAGATGCTATATAGTCAAAAAGTTTGGGACTGTACCTCATTTCTCAACTTTGTAATTCTCAACCATTGTGCAAAATAACCATTATATGGTTATTAGAAGTGCATAATGATTAATGGGTCATTAGCAGTACATAACGGGCGGGCATATTGACTATTGGACAATTGGTACGTAGCTTGTTTGTGCAGCGGATGACTCATTTGTTAGGAACGTGTTTTGACATCTGAGGACAGGTCGTAAACAAACAAGCAGATACAAAGACAACGACGTAAGCGAATTTCACTTTGAGAATCATGGAATACATTCACATGTAGTTTTCAGGGAAATCGCATTCATCAATGACAATGATGTTGAATGATGTTATTCTTTATATCGCGAAATTTCGGTAAACTTGTCAAAAACTTGAAAGAATATAAAACGAAACTATACTTCATTATCATTAGTTTCTGTCATCAAAATCGACAATGACTTTAATTATAATCAGTCACAGAAATTTTGACCGTGCATGAAAGCGAACCTATAAAGTTCAGAAAATTATCTCTATTTTCGGCAAACTGTCCGTTCTGTAAAATGTCCGTTCGGCAAAATGTCTTGACAATGAAAGACGAAGGCATTCTTGACCGAATTATGACATTATAATCTTCTGAATTTTGTAAAATATCTCACCCCAAAATGCACAACGTCGTGTCCAACAGTGGGCATGCCCTTGGACCCCCCTACTGTGTTCGTGCCTTTGGCGTTCACCTTGTCCTCCCCCCCCCCCCCCCCACTTTGTAAACCCTCATCTACACCACTGGTTTAGTTTCCCTCAATGTTTCCATAATTCCCCCAAATTTAAGCTAAATTATTAGTTTTTAATCAGTTTCACTCCAATATTTATATTCTAGTGTTGTTCCTATAATCCTATCCAATTCATGTTTTGCCGACTGGGAAAACAATTAATTTGCTGGCAGTGGGATACAATAATTTGCTGGCTACCTGACAACCCCTCCCGCACCCCCCTCTAGCGCCACCCCTGGGTTAACCCATTATTTATCATTTAATCATACATAAAATTCTTTCTCTTCTCAAGACAAGCAAAATCACCTGTGATTTAAAGCAGATGCATTGAAGCCACACTAACTAAAAACAGGTAAAACTAGAGGGCACTCGGAGACTGCATACCTCCGCCTACACGCAAACTATTGAAGTAATCTATTGTTATTAGAATTTGAATGGCTGCATGATGGTGCATGGTGGTTCGTATGAATATGTTTGGTATTTCTTGAGTTATCGTGCTCACAGACAAACACACACACTGATACACACACACACATATATACACACACACACACACACACATACAAACCCAGATGATTACATAACCTCTTGGCGGAGGTAATAACATGACTCAGACACTCACCTGGTGGGAATTGATGTTGTGGTAAATAAGAAGCTAGTCATTGCTAACTAGAGAATGAAATTTAATTAAAATACATATTTCAGCTAGGTTATGCTGAATAATTAATAGTTTTTATTATGCATTAATTACAGTAATACAATCGGCAGGTACAAAACACAGGTTGCAGGTTGCAGGTTGGAATATATTTCAGCTAGGTTATGCTGAATAATTAATAGTTTTTATTATGCATTAATTACAGTAATACAATCGGCAGGTACAAAACACAGGTTGCAGTTTTGCAGGTTGGAATTTTGCAGGTTGGAATTTTGCAGGTTGCGAATTTTGCAGGTTGCGAATTTTGCAGGTTGGGGATTTTGCAGGTTGGAATTTTGCAGGTTGCCAGGAACTTTGCAGGTTGATAATAATGCAAACTTAAAATTAACACCACTTTTTTAGTATTCTAGATTTCTAGTATAACTTATTCTAGTATAACTTAGTTGTGCATTTATTGCAGTCTGACTCCTTGTCGGCACCTCTGCTCTAAGGCTAGTGGCCATCACCCCCGTGAAAACATTCAAAATGACCAGATTGGTTTGGACCTACAGGGAGACGAATGTTTTGATTGTTGCGAGGTGCCTATACATGATGTGGCGGCCTTTATTCTAGAATGCTGTTAAAAGTTAACTAACTCTCGAGTAATGATACAGTAATTGGGGGCTTGAGTGGTCTCATAAGTGAGTGCAGAGGAGAGACACCTCATTCAGGCATTTTCTGAACTGCCACCACGTCATGTAGGCTCCTCGCAACAATCGAAACATTCGTCCCCCTGAAGATCCAAGCCAATCTGGTCATTTTGAATGTTTTCACAAGGGTGATGAGCAGAGGCTAGAAACATGGTAGCAGGATAGGCTGATATCAAAAGCGGCGACAAGGAGTCAGACTGCAATATATAAGTACACAATAAAATTATACTAGAATACTTTATTGTAGTGTAATTTTCAGTTTGCATCATCAACCTGCAAAATTCCTGCTGATATCAAAAGCGGCGACAAGGAGTCAGACTGCAATATATAAGTACACAATAAAATTATACTAGAATACTTTATTGTAGTGTAATTTTCAGTTTGCATCGCTCAACCTGCAAAATTCAACCTGCAAAATTCCAACCTGCAAAATTCCAACCTGCAAAATTCCCAACCTGCAAAATTCTCAACCTGCAAAATTCCCAACCTGCAAAATTCCCAACCTGCAAAAATTCCAACCTGCAAAATCCCCAACCTGCAAAATTCCAACCTGCAAAATTCCCAACCTGCAAAATTCCAACCTGCAACCTGCCTGCGTTTTGTACCTGCCGGTAATACAATCTATTGGCTGCTATATAGCCTGCTACAGACTGACAATTCTTGATAATACCCTGACAGCAGAGCCCGATTTCTCCTCACATAGCACATAAGGCTCTGCCGTTTTTTGTGTTTAATTTCTGTCGAGCATGCTCTGTTTCCAATATTATATAATGTCAAAATATGTCAAAGATCACTTGTATTTTTAGAATGACTGCTGGATTTAGAGAACCAATCGCATGCAGTTATCTAGTAGCTGCATGGCAAGCCAAATTTATTGTAATATAAATATATATGTAGCGGGATCAAATTGTAGTCATCGGTTTACATGCACGTGCATTTAAAACCGGTTAGAACCGGTTAAGTACCGAATTTTGGACAAACAAAAATACAAAAACGGCAGAGTTAGCCTTACTTTCTACGTACGCGAGGGGAAATCAGGCTCTGCTCTCAGGGTAATTCTTGATGTAACATTGCAGCATAATTAGAGTTTCTGCATGCAGATATAGTTTTCTAAGTAATAAATAATTAAAGCATGAGCGCGGCTGGGTTTTTTATATTAATAGCTTGTGAAACGATGAGAACATTTGTGTTCTTCAACAATTTAAAATAAATTAATGATATTTGGTCATTTGGTGAGAAACTTAAACTTAAAGTTTATGTAAATCAGCATGATTTCTGTATCAGATATACAAACTTCATGCTCATGATTTCTTTTGTGTTTTCTTCATGAATTATTAACAAGTTTCACAAATAAATATGACCACAGAATACCCATGTCTATTCTGTGACAATTAGACACCATTCAGCACAGGCACAAAGCGTGCATTTAGCCCGCACACAAAGTGTGCATTAGCACGCAAATTGCAGGCTTCAACACTGAGTTATATATTTCATATGTAATGCAGTGGCGTAACGTCATATCAGGGGGCGTAACGTCATATCAGGGGGCCCCCAGTTCAAAATTTTCTAAGGCCCCCTAGTAGAAGTGCCAAAGGCACAAGTCGAGCACTGTATTAATGCACAAAGTTTTCTAGGGGGTCCAGGGCATGCTCATCCGGAAAATTTTTGAATCTATACTCTCTGAAATGCCATTTCCTAGACTTTGGGGAGATTTTACAGAATTCTGATGGTCAGAAAATAACATTGTAACATATCAGAGGCCCTGGCCAATGTTTTTGCTCTATTGCCCAAGCTTGGGGGCCCCCATTTAGCCCATTGGGGTTGGGGGCCCCTGGGTTCTCCCGGTCTGAGCCCATAGTAATTACGCCACTGATGTAATGCTAATACATAACTTCAATAGGACTAACCACAGGACTAACATTACTTCATAACCATACCAGATAGGGCTGCTGTTATGAAATGTTGTTATCGTCTCAATTTCTGCAACAAAACAGTGGTGCAGCAGTTTGCTCTTCGAAGTGGTGCGCAGTGTATCGGAATGGTTTTTGCAACAGTACACTCTCATTGTAATGCAAACACCAATTGGAGTAATTTTCGGTTCAATGCATGACTCAAGATGGCGTCTAGCCAAACAAAAACTTTTGCTATTCTAATCTTATTTGCGGGTATAGCTTGCTCACACTTTTAAATGATGTCTGCAAATATATTTTTGTATTTGGTAAATATACAAGCAAATACCACAGCATTAAAGGGTGGGGAGGCTGTTTTAGCAATTAAGTTGTTTACATTGAGGAAAAAATAAAGCCATGGTTTATAATTAATATTGATCTTCCAATTCCTAAAGAAATTCTTCAGAAACGTAGATTTCATAATCACAAGAATTTTTGCGTAGTAAATTAATTTCCTCCAAAGCTAAAACTTTACTGTCTGGCTCGGCGAGGCATCTCGGTAAGTGACGATGATATATGAAACCGAAAGTAAACCGGGGCCGTTACTTTCTGAATTTTACGCTAAAAAATAACATTTTTCAAACTACAAATCATACAAACTTTGCTAAAGTAAGTGAACACGTGATAAGGAAACAAATACGTGAACAATATTCAAATGCATTGATGAAAAATATCAAAATTTTAGTAGTAAGTTGGAAGGTACATAATTGGTACATTTACACCGAGGCGCAAAAATGCACTACCACGACCAGCGACGCTTTTAAGCACAAGAAACGATAAAATAAATGGTTTACTTACTGTATTTTATAAACGTCCAAGAAAAAGTATGTAATATAACACCAATTTCCTCGTTTAAAACGAAAAATATAATATGCACTCACAAAGATCTTGACTAAAAGTACATGACCTCTTCAGCAGCCAATTACACACGAGGTTGCTAATTAATATACACACAATATACAGTTACCAGTATAGTGACCACGCGCAAGTACACACGAGGTTGCTAATTAAGGAGGCTCCCTACAGTTGCGTGCGGGATCTTCGCGGGACCAGTACGTGAACTATCCCACGCAACCGCATGATCAAAACAAAACAAAATTTTTTCTTGTTGCTAATTAAGGAGGCTCCCTACAGTTGCGTGCGGGATCTTCGCGGGACCAGTACGTGAACTATCCCACGCAACCGCATGATCAAAACAAAACAAAATTTTCTTTTTATTAAAAAAGCTATTTCTGAAAGATTTCTAATGGGAAAAAGCGTTGAATAATACTTCGTTTTGAGTGCCAAATTACTTGCGAGTCTATACAGCAATTCTACATATGATACGAATACCACTAGACCAAAAAATAACTACGAAACAATGTGTTTTAATGTTTTTAAATATACATTGTCAACTGTAAAACATTTGCAAAATTGCATACAAACGTTTAAAAAGTTGTTTATTTCTCAAGAAAACGTTCACGTTTTTAGTCGTGTTTCTACAAAATTAAAGTGATTATATGTAAACAGAAAAATATTTCAGTTTCATAGCCTAATTGTTCATTTTTAGCAAAAAGTACAAAACCAAACATGAAACAAAAAAAACACGTCCACCTGTTAGCAGGCTGCTACAGCTCATAGATTGAGTAAACGGCAGGATTCAATTAGCTTCAACCCTGTTTTCATCGATTTAATCCTTCGCAATAATCCTTGGTTGTCCATAGCACTCAAATAAATCGAAAAGTTGACAAAAACAAAACAGTAAAAACAACATTGCGGCTCGATTTTGCCGAATGAAAACTCGTTCTGCGCCCGCGTACAATCTTTTACTAGTCAGCGACGCTTTTCAATAGGGGAATTTCTCGAGTTACACGAGGCTATTTTCTAACTTTATTTGCATTTTACTCATTAGTTTCATCGGTGACCTATCTTCAAATTTTGACCACGAATTTATTTTGCGGTAAATTTTATAAATTTCAAATTTTAAAAAAATCTGTAGTGTGGAAATTTCGCAATAAATTTTTCGCTTTTAAAAAAATCACACACTACAGAATTTTTTTAAACTTTCACCACAGTTGCAGAACATCATTCCTTATTGATATATGAAATAAAAAAGATAGGTCACCGACATCGTTTTTGAGATAGCGGCACATTTGTGGGTTAAATTGGAAGGCTTTATGCTGTCGTCATGTTGCCATGGGAACATTGACATCGTCGAAATCTAGTTCCAAATATTCCTTTGGTGACCAATATTGCCACCAAGTCGAAAAGAATTCGCGTTTTGCACGAATAAGCCTGTTTTACGGAATTATTGCTTAAACAAGAATAACTGTAGGGAGCCACCTTAATATACACACAATATACAGTTACCAGTATAGTGACCACGCGCAAGTACACACGAGGTTGCAAAAGAATTCGCGTTTTGCACGAATAAGCCTGTTTTACGGAATTATTGCTTAAACAAGAATAACTGTAGGGAGCCACAATTAATATACACACAATATACAGTTACCAGTATAGTGACCACGCGCAAGTACACACGAGGTTGCTAATTAATATACACACAATATACAGTTACCAGTATAGTGAATCCACAGGGGGCCAACCACAACAGCTGTGTTCAATATGAATAAAACATCATATTAATTTAACGTAATATGAATAAAACATCATAACGTAATATATTCAAATTATTGCACTTACTTGTATAAATCATAAGAGCTTGCATTTGCAGTGAATAGCTTCAAACATTGCTTTGAACGATGGGTGTAGATAAAAAGCGGACGGATAAAAGGCGGACGGCGGAGCATTTTCTAAACACACGATTACTACCGCAACTAATTATAAAACCCTAAATTAAAGTATACCAGCCTTAAATCTCTGAAATGAATATGTTTTCACCCGTTCGAATTTTTAGCAATGGAATTTTTTAATCAATATTCAATACGTATGTATGATAGGAGGCTATTGGCCGTCTTTCGCGTGAAATTTTTCAAACAACATGTTCCACTGATTACTGTATGACATTTACATATATTGTAGATTATACAAATAATGAATGTTTTTATTCGTGCAATGGTAAGAATATTTTCATGAGGTGATTCAACCTTAACGAGGCGACAGCCGAGTTGAATGGAACATTCCATCTTTCACCGAATGAAAATATTCTTACCATTGCACGAATAAAAACATTCATTATTTGTTTTATATAATACCAAAATAGACTAATATTAAAAGGTTTACTGTAAGCTCCCGCCATTTTGACGAGTCGTATTTGCATTAAATCCCATTTACTGAGGTTCGAATATCGGGTTAAAATAAACTGCAGCGATCACCGTACGAGAAGCATTTTGACGCATGCGATTTATCGAAAACACAAAGAGTGCAATGGAATAAATTATATAGTACAATTGCACTCGCAAGAGTGCAATGGAACGTATTCCATTGCACTCTTGGGAAATGAAATTTTCTATTCAATATCACGTGACCATAAACAGCCAATTAAAAGTGCCAATTAGCACTCGAACATTCCCAACAAAATGTCATAGTCTCATCCTGACGACGTAATAAAAAGCTCAGCGCGCCAAGAACCCAGCGGATATTGCCAACTTACTCAACCACTACTTCTATTCCGTTTTCAAACCTTCTGACGACGAAACGTCCTTTCCAAACTCCAGTGACTCGAACTCTGATACTTCAGAATGTACCATCTCCAGCATCACCTTAACACCCGAGGAAGTTCACCACGTTCTTGCTGCTCTCGATGAAAACAAAGCGACTGGCCCTGACAAGATACCAGCGAAACTCCTCAAAAACTGTGCGTCCAGTATTTATTTATCGCTATGTGACCTCTTCAACAAGAGTTTATCTCTGGGTAAACTTCCAAATGAGTGGAAACTCTCCAATGTTGTTCCAATCCCAAAGAAAGGTCCAGCTGAAGAGGTTTCAAACTATCGACCAATATCTCTGTTGTCCTGCTCTGGGTAAACTTCCAAATGAGTGGAAACTCTCCAATATTGTTCCAATCCCAAAGAAAGGTCCAGCTGAAGATGTATCAAACTATCGACCAATATCTCTGTTGTCCTTGGTCTCCAAAGTCTTCGAACGTTGCGTCTACAACCAACTCGTATCACACATTTCCACTCAACTCCACCATCTACAATTCGGTTTCCTCAGAGGCAAGTCAACCACCTCACAGCTTCTGCACGTTCTCCAGGATATTCATTAAGTGTTGGAGAGTCGAAACCAAGTCGACGCTATGTATTTGGACTTTGCAAAAGCGTTTGACAAGGTTAGTCATAAGCTTTTGTTGACTAAACTTCACAAGTTTGGAATAAGAGGTGACCTACTAAGTTGGTTTGAAAATTATCTCTCCGGCCGCTACCAAAGAGTCACTGTTCTGGGTGAGACCTCGGGTACACTCCCTGTACTGTCTGGAGTTCCTCAGGGATCAATCTTGGGGCCCCTCCTTTTCCTAGTATATGTGAACGATCTTGCACATTCCATCTCGGGCGAATCAACTGTGGCAATGTTTGCCGATGATACCAAGTGCTACCGTCCGGTGAAAGATTTACCCGATTGCGAAAGTGCTCACTGCTAGGCTTCATTCGTCGAACAGCCTCCGACACGCATAACATCCACGTGCGAAAGGTCTTGTACCTGTCCTTAGCACGCAACAAGTTAGGATATGCCAGTCAGGTGTGGGCACCTCAAACTGTCACGGACATACTGTCAATAGAACGGGTCCAACGTCGCGCGACCAAATTCATCCTTTCCCTTCCTTACAGAACAGCCACAACATACAGGGAACGACTACTGGTTATCGGTATTCTCCCAGTCTGCTATTGGCACGAATTTCTAGACTTAGTTTTTCTTTACAAGAGTATTCTAAGCAACGATGTCAATGTGTCAATACGAACAACCACCCGGACGACTAGAAACGCTGACCCTGTCAATGGTATTCTTCTTAATGTATCTCGATGCAGGACAGTTAGCTACAAGAACAATTTCTATGTGAGAGCGCCTAGCGTATGGAACATTCTCCCTAGCAATATTCGTGACACTTCAAGATCATTAGCTTACTTTAAAATCACTTTTAATATTCAATTACTACTTAAACCTTTTAGAACAAATATACAATTAACCCGGACAATCCTAGGACATTTAAGTCCGTGTGCGTCAAATGCCACTCAACTCGGTCTCTTGATAGCTTATTAGTGAGGACATGTTGTTGACATTTTAGCATAATTTGTTTTAATGTTATATATTGTAACTTATTGTGAGGGGCCTCATAATTGGAGATTATCTCTGTGGCTAGTCCCTGCCCGAATTGTATGTAAATTTTGTAAAGTATTAGTCTTATTTATGTCTGTTATGTTTGGCGAATCTTGTAAAATTAAAATTAAACGATCAGAATTCAATAAGGTATTATATAAATTATAATATATCATATTTACTTCAAAAACTCATTAATAATTCATGAAGCAATTATCCAATCTTGAGCAAGAAATTAGTCACGTGCATACGTCTTTATACCAGCTAAAGAACACTTTAACAAAACACCATTGTTATGCAAACTATATAAAGATTTTTATATAAAGATTTGACTTATTATGCAAACGTTTTTGAAGCCATTTAAAAAACTCGCAGGTCGTGTTTTATTAGGTCTAAAGCCACTAGCGCTGCGCGCTCGTGGCTTTAATAAAACACTCCTGCGAGTTTTTTAAATAGTACATAAATATGTAGGAAAATATCAATAACTCGATATAGTTACTAAGAAATGACAAATATATACAATTGTAAATATAAAAAATTGTGAACGTTTGCATGTCCAAACTTTATAAAAAGTTCTCTTAAATCACGATCCATTGCCTATACTCAATACCTACTATCTATATGTGCCCACGAAATAAACAAATCGTTCAAGAGCTTTGGATGACAGCAGCACTAGGACATTTAGAAAATTATATAGAATAGTTGTCGCATGCAAATCGGTCATTTCTACGTGTGAACCACTTAGCTTTATTCTATGGCTTTATAATTAAAACAGAGATCATTTTCATTATAAAACAGCAAGTCAGCACTATTTAAAGTACGAAAATGTCAGCAAGTGAATGTCATTTAATTCTGCCTAACAGAAGCTCCAAAACTAAGGCGCTTTTTTACAATATTTCCAAACGTTTCCCGAGAAAAAAGGCGTATAGCTTATCATACATACGTATTGAATCATTTGAATGCTGATTAAAAAATTCCATTGCTAAAAATTCGAACCGATGAAAACACATTCATTTCACATATCTAAGACTGGTATGCTTTAATTTAGGGTGTTATAATTAGTTGCGGTAGCAATCATGTGTTTATAAAATGCTCCGCCGTCCGTCGTCCGCCCGCCTTTTATCTACACCCTCTCGAACGATAGCCTACGTGGTAGGCCCTCAGTTGTATGGGGGCCCTGATTTGCAACGGGCAGGGTTTTTTTTTTTTTTCAGGATTGATTTGCTCCAATCCTCCCCTAAGCCCGCCAAAAAATCCTGCCCGTTGCAAATCAGGCCCCCCATAAAATTGAGGGCCTGCCACGCACGCTATTCGAACGATGATTCACAACATAAACAACAAAGCACAGAGGAGCTAGATACAGTACATACAGAGCTGTAGCTGCCACAGACACTGCGGAAGCTTACGTCTTCATGTACCTCAACTGCGCGTGCTCGGCAAGTTCTGCGAGCAGTTAAAGCGAGTCGTCATCCAATTTCATCCAATAGGATTCGTCCATCTAGTAACTTGCCGAGCACGCGCACAAAAAAAGTGGGCGCACTAGTTATAAACATAAAACAGTAAAACGATAGGGTTTAACAATATCAAACATATACACGTGGGGCAAAAAGTAATCCAAAATCGGCCAACCTCAAATAACTTCGGCAATTTAATACAATACATCCTTCCGGAAAGTACATCACTTTGGCTACAGTCATCATCAGGAATGACGCAATAGGGAAAAATACACATGTTATATATACATGTTCCTAATATATATAGGCATATAGCATATCATGTCATTCGATCTTGTATATATAACATGCATGTATATTTTTCCGTAGCGTCATTCCTGATGATGACTGCAAGATAGTCGAAACGTCGTATTAGAAATGTTAGCTGTTTTGGAGTGTCCATTGTTTTGTATTTTTTTAAATTACTCAGTGGTAACCCGAACTTTTGGCTATAGAGCCTCGCTTTCACGCGTGCAACATTATTTGAAGTTTATTGTAAAACAAGACTCTGAGTAAAACAGGTCTGATATCTGCACTGTCTACGCATTATGTGATAGGCCTAGCTTAATATATATATTTTGACATGTTCAGGCCAAGTCTAGTTTTTATTCCTTTTACAAAAAAATGTAGAAAGTGGCACGAAGTGCAACCTCCAGATATACATTTTGTAATAATGTGATCGTCTTGCAAATTTAGTAACTACATAGCCTTCTATCTTTATAATAATATGTTAATAATTATAATAGTTATGTGCAGTTCTATATTGGTGCATTTTGTGCAGTTCTCTATTTGCTGAGTATCATCTAAATTTCTGTATATGTTTATCGTTTGTACAATGCAAATGTAATTCTCTCGTTCATTTAACTTGTAAATACATAATCTGATCATTTAACTTGTAAAACATAACTGGTAATAGAGTGTGAACACGTAACTGGTAATAGACACATTCCGAATCTGCTGGCGGGTGTCCCAGGAATTTCGCCCCCCCCCCCACAATTCCTAGGAGATTGGCCCCCCTTTAAGAGATCCGTAAAAATTCCGATTTCCAAACGGTTGCATGGGATAATTATTACATGACTCATTTGAAATCAGTTACTATGAGCTTTAATTCAAAATTATGACATCAAAACACATCCATGCATTTTTTGTTAATCTTTAAAAAACTAATTTTTAAAAAATAATCGATATCACCGTGGCGGTTGTTGTTAAACTTGAGAGGGGGCGAATCTCCACGGGGGGGGGGGGATTCCTGTGACACCGGGCAACAAAAACTATTTCAGAACCATCCTCAAAGATATGAAAAACTATGTTTTCATATTTACTCCGGGAAATTGATACCGCTTTCTGAAAAAAGGTAATTTCCCGTGCGTAATACAAAATGACTGAAAAACGGCAAACCCCGCGGGGCTACATTATGCGCATTTTACAACCGATTTCGCAACGAAACTTCGGAATATTACTAATTTTAGTGATGCTCTTTCAAGCTGTGATGAAATTTTTGTCTAGACTTGTCCAGATCAAAATTTTGTTTATTAGTAGTCCGTGTGTTGTGACCCGATATCGTTCACTTTCATTAAGCATCTCTTAGATCTGAAATATTTTCGAACACGCTGATTTCAAATCCGAAAAGTTCCCACTCCGTAGACCCGCAGTTTTTTCACAAAATGCTATTTTATCTTCACTAATTTCACAACAAATTTTTTCATTGTTTAACGATACGGATCGATGACGATACACGATTATGTCACTCAAAAGGACCAATTTCTATTAACCATTCTTCCTTTTAACAAAAGATCGGTTTTGCTCGAATCATTTTGAGTTATATGTAATCTTATGCGTGTTGGACGTAAACAACATATCTTGTCTATAACTTTGAGAAAGTACAGATAACGCTTTCTAAAATCCTCAGTTCTAGAGATATCTCTTTAAAATCACAATGACGTTAATGTCAAGTCTTTTAGCTATGTCACTGGCCTGAAAAATAACTCTTTTAACGCGATCAAGATATTTAAAACAAAAGTAACGCGAAGCCAACGTAACGGCAAAGATAACGCTAAAACGAAATATTGTCGAATGGTTGCAGGTAGAAGACTTACGACAGGATCAATCTTAAATAACCTTAAACTATAAGAATAAATGTTCACATCAAAGACAAAGATCAGTCACAAAGTATAAAATACGCTCTGTAAACTTACCGCGAAGTGGAGAAATGTGTGCATGAGCTGTTTATTTGATGATTTCGACGTATATAGAAGCCCTCTTTCCAATAATACTCGCTTATCGCTCAGTATAACACCAACTGTTGTAATAGTTCAAATGCAATGATAAGTTATCTCTTGAATTACGTCTTGGAAACCGTGCTGGAAATTTCAGTGCTGATCCATTACATATAGATTACCGTTTTATATCTTTGTATAAAACATTTTGATCGCATGTAAGAAATTATTTCTCAGCCCAGAGACATAGCCCAAAGACTTAACATTAACGTCCTTGTGATTTTGTAGAAATAGATCCAGAACTAAGGATATTAGAAGGAATTATCTGTACCTTCTCAAAGTTGTAGACAAGATATGTTGTTTACGTCCAACATGCATAAGACTACATAACTCAAAATGATTCGAGCGAAACCGGTCTTTTGTTAAAAGGAAGAATGGTTAATAGAAATTGGTCATTTTGAGTGACATAATCGTGTATCGTCATCGATCCGTATCGTTGAACAATGAAAAAATTTGTTGTGAAATTAGTGAAGATAAAATAGCATTTTGTGAAAAAAACTGCGGGTCTACGGAGTGGGAACTTTTCGGATTTGAACTCAGCGTGTTCGGAAGTGTTAGTTTCCGTGAAAATATTTCAGATCTAAGACATGCTTAATAAAAATTGTTTTCTAGGCACTTTTCGAGGTCACAACACACGGACTATAGGTAATAGGTCCATTGATAGGGAATATAGGAATGCAACTACCAGAAAAATACAAGAACGTCGACGTTTCGAGCGTAGGCAATTCGTCGGGAAGTAAGTAGCCAAACTTCTAACTTCCCAACGAAGTGCCTCCGCTCGAAACGTCGACGTTCTCCTTGTATTTTTCAGGTAGTTGTATCCCTATCAATCAATCCGTAGACTTGCTCCAAGTCTCTCTTTCATTGTCATATAGTATCGATTCACTATAATGTACATTACACGACGTAGTATGGAGAGGCGGAGCGATCAAAACTGAACCGAAAATGCAAGACTTGCTTTAATTGTTTCATGCCAGTGTTCAGTTATATGTATTGACCTAGCACAGTGTAAATAACACGAGATCCATTATAGTAAATAATACAGAAAGAAATTGAAGGGAAACAATTAAAGCAAGTCTTGCATTTTCGGTTCAGTTTTGAACCGAGATTTTCCGAAGTTGACAAGTCTCTCTTTCTCGCTCCGCCTCTCCGTGCTACGTCATGTAATGCACACTATAGTGGATCGATATGACAATGAAAGAGAGACTTGGAGCAAGTCTAATCAATCCGTAGCTTTCCTAGTTGTAAAGCATTTACTTATCTTGTATTAATCCAGCATTATCCGAGCCGTATTGGCCAACTTCAATCTTGACGTCGCCATGTTCTGCGTGATCAGCTTGAACAGGTTCCGGTGCCCGAACGTCAGGTTTACGGTCGGACGCTAGTTGTGGGTTGCGGGCCAAGGTAAGGGCAAGGAACCATCTAGCACGGGCTTGAGCTGAACGTGTCCATTTTGGCCCTGTGTTCTTTTCTATGATACAAGAACTAAATTAATATGTTGTGAAGGCCGAAGGTTCTACGTCATTTTAAAAGAGGGGCAGGAAGATACCTGCATATTCTACATGTACACGTTTTCTGAAGCAAAAGTGATCAGTGTTTTTGGCTCGTTTATTAGAAACATGATTGACCACCACAAATCTACAGTGATGTCGCTGACATTGTGGAACAGATTCTCACAGTTTCTGATTATCAGTGAGAAAGGATAAACATTGTCTGAATAGAAATTTATCAACAGTGGCCTCTCTTCCTCCTTAAATTTGCTCGTGAATAAACTAATGAGGACACACCAAGATGGCCGCCACAAGTCTCATTATCTAGTGTTTAAAACGTTCTAAAACTCATTAGAAGAAATATGGGAAGCTCTATCTTTCAAGTTGCACAGGGAAAGACATTTGCTTGATAATGTAGCTAATTCTAATACGGCGCAATACGATTTGCAAAGATTTTGACAGACTTTAAACTCTCACCTCAAAATAAATATTTTTGATCAGTGAACGTCTCATAAACATGCTGGTTGATCCAATTCATAAGGATACTCCCATCCAGACCTAGTCTCAACTATACTTTTCTCATGGCTTCAATAGCACTTACGTGTTTGATCGCTCAATATTTGACAGAAAACTCGAAGAATTGGGTTTCTATAAGCTGTTTGTACGTGAAGATAACAGATGTACGCATTGAAACCTGGCAAAAAATTTTTAAAAAAACACGTTATAGCCTGGATCCATCTTGTATTTTGGGTACTGTATGCAAATCAGTCCTTCATCAGTGCCAATATTTTTATTAGCACTAATAGATTCTGCTGTTCTCCATGTCATCTAATCACACATTGTTTTTGACTTACAGTAGTTTATACCATTTATGTCTATTGGATTACCTTGATCAATTTGTTGAAAGCCATCAGGCATGACACTATGATCAATTCTTGGCAACATCAGAGCTCCCACAAGCATTGCCTTGAGGATCCGTAATATGGCGGAGAAGAAACCCATGGGAAGACCAATGAAAAACCAGAAATACGAGAACACCATGTATACATTTCTGGAGGGAAAATCAAGGACGTTCACAGTGTTTCACTTTTGCAACTGAGGTTAAATTCCTGCACTATGCCGATTATAATTTTGATTCAATCACACACGCACAAGTTGTCATAGGTCTGCAAACAAGTTGTTACAAATCTGTTCCCAAGCGGTGGACAAGTTGTGTTCGCACTGCTTGTTCCCAGTTGTTGTAACAAGTCTGGAATAAGCTGTTACATGTAACAAGTTGTAACAAGCTTGATGGCATTATCAGACTTGTAACAAGGTTGTTCTCACAAGTCTGATACAGTCATGATGTAACAAGAATGTTACAAGGCACACAAGGTTGTGACAATATTGTTATATCATGACTGTATCGGACTTGTTGGAACAATCTTGCAACAAATCTGATAATATCGACAAGGTTGTTACAAGTTGTTCCAAACTTGTTGACAACTTGGGACAGGCAGTGCGAACACAACTTGTTGACAGACTTGCAGCAAGATGTGAGATTTTTACCTGTGTAGCACACGCGTATAACATTATCGCAGCTTGTGAACAAGATGTGTTCGCACAGCTTGCTCCCAGTTGTTGACAAGTCTGAAACAAGTTGTTATCATCTTGCAACAAGGCTGACGAGGCCAACAGATTCGCAACAAGTTGTTTGAACAAATCTAATATCGTCTGCGCGTAACAAGTTCAGAATTCTTTGTGAAACAGGATAGGACCAATTATAGTATATGATCCTTACTGAACTTCTAACGAGAAGAATTTTGAACTGATAAAGTTATCCTGCATAGTTTCGGGATTCCTCCTAAATCACACTGGATCAATTTGGTATAATTAATACAAAACTGTTTGGGAGAACTAATGGAGATATCGCGTATGAAAAAGGTTAGTTAGAATATGAATACATTACAACACATCGTTCAAAAGCTGATAATAGACAGATTTAGATCGAAGACGCGGACGTCAAAGACGACGTGAAAATGGCGTGTTGTGCCCATGTATGGATATGCCACCATTTTGACGCCCTTTTCACGTCGTCTTTGACGTCCGCGACCTAAATCTGTCTAATGTGCAAGTACAAACTGAAGATACTGGAATATAAATTTCTACTCAATTTTAATTCGTGAAGTAGACACAAACCTGTTATTTACAGATATGACGTCTTTAGAGTAAGTGTAATCTCGGAATACCGTGTACGAAGCTAATGGCAATGACAAACCAGACAAAATAGCCACACCCGCAACAACACTAAAATATTGAACAGAATTATTAGCGATGGGATGGTTTTCAGGAGGAGAATGACGTCCTAACATAATAGACTGTATTCTTTATTGCACTTTGCCCCAATGGCCTCATTTTCATGTGAATTACATTTTCATGTAATTCTACTAATTCTCATTATTTGAGATTCTAATACATACATACATGCATACATCAACTTTATTTAAACACGGAAAATCATCAGTATAATTATTTACAAAAATATTAAAAAATTTTAAAAGGAGCAAAAAGAAATATAGATACTGTTCTACCTGATTGCCGTGTGGGAGTCAGATCGATTATTTATTAAGAAGGCTTCTAAACCTGTCTTAAATGCAGCGAGAGAGGTTACTGATCTAAGAGATTCTGGCAGGCCATTCCATAAAGAGGCTCCACTGTAACTGAAGGAGCGTTTCAAATAATCTGTGCGTGGTTTTGGGACATAAAGTTTACCATCTCTCACGTTATAAACACTCTCACTGGGAGAAAACATCTCTTGTAAATAGAATGGTGTATGTTTATTAATAGTATTAAACATGAGGATTGCCTTTTGCTTTAATCGCTTAGTGGACAATGATTCCCAATTAAGTTCTTCAAGAAGAGAACTTGATGAAATATCATAGGATGAACGGGTAATAACACGGGCGGCCCTATTCTGTAATTTTTGTAATTTTTCGCTTTGCTTTTTACCTAGGCCATCCCAAACAGGGGCACTATAGGAAAAATAGGGCTCCACCAAACTTTGGTAAACTCGAATTGCAGTTTCTGTGGTAATAAAATCTCTCATTCGTTTGAGAGCGCCGATACCCGAAGAGACTTTTTTGGTGATATTATCAACATGATATTTCCAAGTCAAGTTCTCATCAATTGTTAAACCTAATGACTTACACTTCAGCACTCTATTAATCTGTTTATTGTTAACACATACTTCCACATTCTGATTATCAAAGGTTGAAAGTCTTTGACGAGATCCAATAATCATAAATTCAGTCTTGGCAATATTTAAACTTCACTTATTTGCCTCTAGCCATGTGTTTAAATTGGCTATTTCAGCATTCATAAGATTTTCTAGCTCAGAAAGATTATTACTTTGCATGCTGATGTTCGTGTCATCAGCATACATTCTAGGTAAACCCTCGTTCAAGCAGTTAGGCAAGTCATTGATATAGATCAAAAACAGAAGTGGGCCTATAATAGAGCCGTGCTGAACTCCATGGGAGATAGAACGACTACCAGAGAGTTTGCCATTTACGTAGCATTTCTGTTTTCGATTGTTTAAATAGGAATTAAACCACGATAGCGCATTGTCATCCACACCATAACACTTGAGTTTACGTATAAGAATTTCGTGATCAATTGTATCGAAAGCTTTCTTTAGGTCAATGAAGATCACTCCGTTAAGCAAACCCTTATCAATATTTACGCACCAGTTATTAGTCGACTCTAATAAAGCTGTAACGGTACTATACGATGCTCGAAACCCTGACTGATAGTTCGACAGTAAGTTGTTACTTGTCAGATAGGAGTAAAATTGGTCATAAACGGTTCTACCAAAAACTTTGGCAACCGCCGATATAATTGAAATTGGACGATAATTACTTAGATCACATTTTTCGCCATTTTTGAATATAGGTAAGACTTTTGCCATTTTTCAATCACTCGGATAAATCCCCATAGAAAGCGATCTATTAAAAATTCTGGTTAACGAGGGTGAAAGAATATCAGCGGCTATTTTCAATAATCTACCTGGAATTTTATCAGGGCCGGTCGCTTTGTTAGCATTAATCGTTTTTAGCAAACAATTTACAGTGGACAAATCAATTTCCTCGAAAGAAAACACACTATGTGTGGATTGAATATAAGAAACGGGATTAACATTCGAGCTAGGTATTTTGTTCGCAAGTTTCTC